TATTATCAATGTTGTGCTGCTTAATATTTTTGTAGAAATACATTTTCCAGGATTCTTTGATGTATAGAATTGTAATTATTGTAATTTGTCCTTGCAAAGTATTAATTTCTTTCAACACACATTAGTGGACTGTTGATATAAAACCTTGTAGTTTTTGAGATATGGCTCTTTCATCAACTAGCTCGAGTGTCTATTTATCGAGGAAATACCACAATGACATTTTTTACAAACATTGAAACCCTCTACATATGTTTCCCTCACAGGGCCATCTCTCTATATTATGAGCTTGGTGAGAATGACTCAGCCTTCATTAAGCAGTGCAAGGATGGTTTTGGCTTCCTCATCAACCTGATCGACTCACCGGGACATGTTGACTTCTCTTCTGAGGTGACAGCAGCTCTAAGAGTTACAGATGGTGCCCTTGTTGTGGTAGACTGTGTATCAGGTAAGGCAAATTCATTTTAGGATATCAAGTTCACACTTCTTTTCTCTAATGAAGGCAGTCCTCTAAAATGCAATAAGAACATTCAACCACACTAATGGTTTAATCGTATAACCTTATAGTAAGATTTCGATGTCTGACCAAAAAGTGAGTTTAAAAAGGCAAAATTTGAATTGTTCCACAGGTGTATGTGTGCAGACTGAAACCGTCTTGAGACAAGCCATTGCAGAGCGCATCAAGCCTGTCTTGATGATGAACAAGATGGATCGTGCCCTCCTTGAGTTGCAGCTGAAACCCGATGAGCTTTTCCAAACCTTCCAGAGGATTGTGGAGAATGTTAACGTCATCATCTCAACCTACGGTGAAGGAGAGCATGGACCAATGGGAAACATTATGGTAACAGATCAGTAGCAGTTGAGACAGAAAAGTCAACTTTATGAGTAAAATAAATGCTTTTATTTATCTGTTTCTTATTGATTTGGGGGGTACCTTAGGTGGATCCTGTGATTGGGACTGTTGGATTTGGATCAGGTCTCCATGGCTGGGCTTTTACTCTGAAGCAGTTTGCTGAGATGTATGTGGCCAAGTTTGCTGCCAAAGGAGATAAGAAAAAAGCAGACCTTCCTCCAGCAGAACGGGCTAAGAAAGTGGAGGAGATGATGAAAAAGCTTTGGGGAGAAAAGTAAGTGTCTAAGCTGCCCATGTGATTTCCAGTATAAATTGTGTGTATATACAAAATACTCTTTATCTCAAAGCCATCTTTTTTAGGTACTTTGATCCCTCTTGTGGAAAATTCAGCAAATCGGCAGCCAATGCAGATGGCAAGAAGCTTCCTCGTACTTTCTGCCAGCTTGTCTTGGATCCAATCTTTAAGGTTTGCGTTTAAATCAGTTCTTCTTATCACTCGAGTCTTGCTACTGTGACTCATTTACAGTTCATCTCTTATTTGAACTCCTTACACAGGTTTTTGATGCCATTATGAATTTCAAAAAAGAAGAGACCCAGAAACTGATTGAGAAACTTGAAGTTAAGCTTGATGCAGAAGACAAAGAAAAAGAAGGAAAACCTCTACTTAAGGTACAACTAAAGAACTAAACTTCTGAGAATCTGCACCCTAATTATACCGTTGCTGTTGACACACGGTTGTTTCGATGCTTCCAGGCTGTGATGCGCCGCTGGTTGCCTGCAGGTGACGCTTTGCTCCAGATGATCACCATCCATCTTCCTTCTCCTGTCACTGCCCAAAAGTACCGCTGTGAACTGCTTTACGAGGGTCCTGGAGATGATGAGGCCGCCATGGGTGAGTGTTAACATTGCGAGGTGTTTGACACGTCAGGGAGATCTGTTTTTGCCAGCTTTTTCACATTCCACCTTTGACTTTTCAGGTATAAAGAACTGTGATCCTAAAGCCCCTCTCATGATGTACATCTCCAAGATGGTGCCAACCACCGACAAGGGTAGATTCTATGCCTTTGGTCGTGTCTTCTCTGGTGTTGTTTGTACAGGGCAGAAGGTGCGCATCATGGGCCCAAACTTCACACCAGGAAAAAAGGAGGACTTGTACATAAAGCCAATCCAAAGGTTTGCTGCGGTCAATTACATATACAATACAAGTCATTCTCAATTGATGATTTGATGATCATTACCCTTATTAACGTTAGGATCACACTATGTCCTCCTCAGAACTATCTTGATGATGGGTCGCTACGTAGAGCCCATTGAAGATGTGCCATGCGGGAACATTGTTGGTTTGGTTGGGGTTGATCAGTTCCTAGTTAAGACTGGCACTATTACCACTTTTGAAAATGCTCACAACATGCGTATTATGAAGTTCAGTGTTAGTCCTGTGGTGAGAGTTGCTGTGGAGGCCAAGAACCCAGCTGATTTGCCAAAGTTGGTAGAGGGCCTTAAACGCCTGGCCAAGTCTGATCCTATGGTTCAGGTGAATATCTTAGCAGGGTAATAAGATGGTGAAAACAAAATTCAGTCTTTCCAATAACAAACACAAGTTTCTTCTGCTAGTGTATCATTGAAGAGTCTGGTGAGCACATTGTGGCAGGTGCTGGAGAGCTTCATCTGGAGATTTGCCTAAAAGACCTTGAGGAAGATCATGCCTGCATCCCTCTGAAGGTAGCGCTTGGATGACAATACTGATGAGTTTACAGATATTTTTTACTTCATTCCTTTCCATTAAGAGCTTGAGGCCATTTTTTTTGTAGAAATCAGACCCAGTTGTGTCATATCGTGAAACCGTCAGTGAAGAATCAGACCAGGTTTGCTTGTCCAAGTCTCCCAACAAGCACAATCGTCTGTACATGAAAGCTCGGCCCCTCCCAGATGGCCTAGCCGAGGACATCGATAAGGGTGATGTGACCGCTCGACAGGAGCTCAAACAGAGAGCTCGCTACCTGGCTGAGAAATACGAATGGGAGGTCGCTGAGGCCCGTAAGATTTGGTGCTTTGGACCAGATGGCACAGGGCCCAACATCCTTGTGGATATCACAAAGGGCGTTCAGTATCTGAATGAGATAAAGGACAGCGTAGTGGCCGGTTTCCAGTGGGCAACCAAAGAAGTGAGTAAAGACAGGTTATGTATTTTAATTTATGCTTAGTCATTTCTACACAGTAATGAGATACTATTTTGTGTTCCTTTACCAGGGTGCACTCTGTGAAGAGAACATGCGGGCAGTACGATTTGACATTCATGACGTCACTCTTCACGCTGATGCCATTCATAGAGGTGGCGGTCAGATTATTCCCACAGCCCGCAGAGTTCTGTATGCATCTGTGCTCACTGCACAGCTAAGACTCATGGAGCCCATTTACCTGGTCGAGATTCAGGTACAGATGGTGGTTTTCTAGAACAGAAAAACAAGAGAGCAACCTTGATGTTAATACATTTCCTTTTCTCCTCCAGTGCCCAGAGCAGGTGGTTGGTGGCATCTATGGTGTGCTGAACAGAAAAAGAGGCCATGTGTTTGAGGAGTCCCAAGTGGCTGGTACACCTATATTTGTTGTGAAGGCATACCTACCTGTAAATGAATCATTTGGTAAGTTAATAATCCACACTGATGGCAGCTTAAGTTAAGTTTGTTCAAAATGACAGCAATAGGCATTTATACCATTTTTATAGTGATAATGCATAAATACATTTGTTATTGCAGTTAAACAAATTTTGGTCCCACTTTATATTAAGTGGCCTTAACTACTATGTACTTACATCAACAAATAAGTAGAGTGTACTTATTGTGTTCATATTGTATTGCAAAACACTGTCACTGCTATTGAGGTGGGATACGGGTGGTTAGGGACAGGTTTGGTGATCTGGTTAGGTTTAAGGGTGGGTTATGGTGTAAGGCAGGGTTCCTCAAATCTTGCCGTGGAGGGCCAATGCGCTGCAGAGTTTAGCTCCAACCCTGATCAAACTCACCTACCTGTGATTTTCTAATGATCCTGAAGACATTGATTAGCATGCTCAGGTGTGTTTGATTTGGGTTAGAGCTAAACTCTGCAGGAAAGTGTATCTCGTGGGCCAGATTTGAGGATCCCTGGTGTAAGGGATGAATCAACAGTGCAATTACAGAAATCAATTACAGATGTAATTACATGCAGGTATTTTTAAAAATACAAGTACAATGTAAAAACATGCATGTACACAATAAGTGCATTGTACCAAATGATGAATTTAAATGCAAGTACATAGTAGTTAAGGCCACTTTAATATAAAGTGGGACCCAAATTTTTTAGCGTTCCCAAATGTTATAAGTTTCTATGTTAATATATTGTGGATGTTAATTAAAAAATAAAAGTCCTCTGTTTCTTTGGTGCCTATAATTTGCTTGTATTTGTTTCTGTACAGGCTTCACAGCAGACCTGAGGTCTAACACAGGTGGACAGGCCTTCCCTCAGTGTGTGTTTGACCACTGGCAGATTTTGCCAGGTGATCCATATGATGTAAACAGCAAACCTAGCCAAATTGTGGCTGAGACCCGTAAACGCAAAGGTCTGAAGGAGGGCATCCCAGCACTGGACAACTTCCTGGACAAGCTATAAATTTCTCTGGATTGTACATGGTGATTGAAGCCATTAAACTTACAATGTTAACTTGATGACTGTATTCAAGTGTATTGCGTAATGTTTACACAGAAAATCAATAGAGCTTAATTTAAATATTCAAATCTGCACAATTTGGCAGAAACTAAAATCTGAGCACGTTAAACCTGTCTAGATGCGTCCATACATAAAGCCAATACAACACAGCTATCTGGACTTAATTCAACTTCCAAATGAATATGAAATAATGCTTGAATCACTGTGTATTGGTTTACATGTCTTAGGATGTATATTTATTTTAAATTGTGTCCTCCTTTTGGCACAGAATTCAAGATTCTCAACAACATTACCGGTGCCATTATCAATGGAGAGCTATGTCAATTAAAAACATCAGCCCTGACTGGGAGGCTCAATAAAAGCACTATCAACATTTACAGCACATCTTTGTTTGGTTTTTTACATTTATAATATAAGCATGTTCAACTCAAAAATAGTACACGTAACAAGGGGGAACTTATAAAAGAAATAAACAGCCTGTTACATGCCTTCAAACTTAGTCAAATTGACAGTATGTTGTATTGCTCATAATCCAGTAAGCAGGGCCATCCTTAGCTGATGCTGGGTCCTGTGCGAGGTAGGGAGCGTGGGGGGGAGGTACCCCCCTCAGTCCGTTCGCCGCGGGGCCCCCTCAAGCATGGGGCCCAGTGCAACTGCACCAGTTGCACCGCCCTAAGGACGGCCCTGCCAGTAAGATATTTGAGATTAATTCAAACCGCAACTCATATCTATTAAGTAAATAACCATTTTACAATTAAAGCAGATTTCTGAAAGACAAAAGATCCCCATCCTATATAAAAACTTGCATAATCCTAAAAAAAAAACCAAAAAAAAAAAACAATGCAGTTTTATTTTTATTACACCTGCAGGCTGTTAACTTCCCAAAAAACATGAAATTAGACAGATTACTCCTTGTTTTAACAACGGTCATATTAATTTCTGAGGTGAATGGTAAGATGTGCTCAGATAGCAAAAAAAACTTTCATATAAAATTACAGATTGAAAATAAGTTTACCACATCAGCAAAAGGGAATCTGATGGCTCTTGAGCAAATAACCACAAACAAATAAAAAAAAAAAGATCTGCTTAGGCGTTCTGCCTTGATATCAGACATGAAGTGAACAAATAAACATTTTACAATATACAATGTATGTTTTTTTTTATTGCTGCAATTGAAGTCTTGTAACAAAAAATAATTGCACTGCTGATATCGAAGAGACAACAAACTGAGCTGCCGCTGAAAACCTGCTTCCGTTCAACTGCAGAAATGCCAATGCAAAACATACAATTTAGATGAGTGTCATTATTAGACTCGTCTGAGCTTTCCAGTCCACTCATTTATGCCGTTTGTCACACTCTGCTCCTCCAATCAAATAGCTAATGGATGAGAGTCATTGCGTATTTGGCAGTTTCCTCAATACAACGGGAAAACAGCTTGATTCAGGTTTGCTTTTTAGAACAGCATTGTTGCGGTCTCAGCCACAACATTTAGAGATCTTCATAGCAGTCCTTCTGGGTCCTTGTCAAAACACGATTCTTGAGGTCCATAGTTAAATGTAGAAAATAACTGTTTTAGTGACTGGCCAATAAAGATGCGCCAGGATTCAGTCTAGTGAGATAATGTCTGATAGGCCTGAAGATCCTCCCGTAATGACACCCGTCTCATGACTCGAGCTGCTGCTATGGGTTGCCGTCTCATACGGAGCTGATGAGGAAACCAGGCTGGTGCTAGCACTCTGAAGGCTGTTGGAAAGGTTGTCTAAAAATATGGGGCCTCTGTAATGCTGCTGAAGAAACAAAGAAAACTAGTGGTAAACAGCTGTGCAAACTATTAAAATACATAAAGTACATGCAGTCTCAATATTTCTTTGTAAGAATATACCTGTGGATCCCCTTGAATCAGAGAAAATAAATCAAGACCTTTGGGAAAGATGCGTGTTGTAGGACAAACATTAGTTTTCATGTTAAATCTTGATCATGAAGGAAAGCATACTTGATTGGATGGCAGACTAGATAAGTACATACTTTGCATATCTGTGGGAATAGTGGATAAGGTAGAATGGTGGAATGGAACGGAGTAGTCCGCTATTGAGGAGGTCAGGTATGAGGTGTCTAGCGCTTGGACATCTGGCACCCGAACAGTTGATGGCTGGTAAGTCAGGACCCTAAAAGAGGAAACAGAAAAATATGAAAACCAATACATTATAGAGACATCATAGAGAAATAGAGGTTCCACCGCACTCAATGTTTTGAAGGTTGTTTTTTTTTAAAAAATCATTCTAGATCATTTTATCTACTGTATCTATAGTAGCAATACTAACACTTACATATTTTCATTTCTGAATTTCCACGCCTTTTCCCAATTATTGCTATAAAATTAATAATAATAATAGATAATTCAAGCTAATAAAACATTTTGCAACAAAATTGAGTGCCACATTATATTCATTTTTTTTTTACCCGTTTAGCGTTCCACTGTACCGCCTGTGGTACACTGCGTTTTTTTGAGGGTTAACTTTGACATACAACTCAAAAAAAAAAAAAAAAAAAACCAAAACAGGTTGGAAAGCTGAGATTCTTGTGATTCGAATGATGCAAACCATTTTAAGATGCAATCAACACAGCAGTGTCTTTGTCAGACCACCAACAAGGCTTCATGCTGTGATCACACCGGGGGAAATTCACTTACTACAGCAGCTCCAGATCCACAAAAAAACAAGAAAAAATAAAAAAATAAATATGGAACAGATAATACAGTGCAGGTATACTGTAATAGTGCTACATATTGTTGTTGTTGCAATTAAAGAGTCTGACTGCTGTTGGAAGGAAGGACCTGCGGTGGCGCTCCCTCTTGCACTGTGGGTGCACCAGTCGTTGCTGAAAGAACTGGTCAAGGACCCCACAGTCTCATGCAGGTGGTGAGAGATGTTATCCATAATGGAGCTCAGCTTAGCTAACACCCTCCTCTCCCCCACTTCCTCAATGGTGTCCAGAGGACATTCCAGGATAGAGCTGGCACTCTTTACCCATTTATTAAGTCTTATTCTATCCCTCTCAGTGCTTCCAGCTTCCCAACAGACTACCACATAAAAGATCGCAGAAGCCACCACAGTTTTATAGAAAGATTTCAACAGTAAACTGCACATACCAAATGACCTCAGTCTCCTCAGCAATTGAAGATGACTTTGGCCCTTCTTGTGCAGAACCTCAGTTTTGTTGGACCAGTCCAGTTTATTGTTGAGGTGAACATCCAGGTATTTGTATGTTGCCACCATCTCAATGTCCAAACCCTGGCTGTTCACCGGTATAATCTGTGATGTCTTCCTGCAAAAAACGATCACCATCTCCTTTGTCTTGCTGGCATTAATGTAAAGATGGTTTAATGCACACCAGTTCACAAAATCAGAGATGACCTGCCGATGTTTCCGATCATTCCCTTCTGATACACATCCAACGATGGCAGTATCATCAGAGAACTTCTGCAGGTGACAGCTGCTGGTGTTGTATCTGAAATCTGATGTATACAGGGTAAAAAGAAAAGGAGCGAGCACTGTGCCCTGTGGGGCCCCTGTACTGCAAACCAACACATCAGACACACAGTTCTGTAGCCTCACATACTGTGGTCTGTCAGTGAGCTTATTGATGATCCATGCAGCCAAGTGACAAGTGACGGCTGTATTGTGTTGAAAGTGCTGGAGCTTTTTCAGCTAATAGCTCCCAGCTAGTTATCTGCAGGCATCTGTTTACAAAAAATGTAGGTGGAATGTTTTTTTCCCTTTTTCAGTGTGTTCAAAGTTCTATTACTCAGTACCAGTAAGACTTACAGTGATACTGAGGTTTGTTCCGTTTAGGAACAAACCTCAGAGTGTCAACTTTCAAAAGAGGCCAAAACCATGCATATACTCCAAATGGTTCAAGAACAGCATGCAATTTACTTTGGGTATGCCTTTTTAGGCATTTTAGGGAAATTTTACAGGAATGTTAAGGGGTTAAAAGCTTTTAGCAATCTGACTACGACTTTTTCAGGTCTGGAGATTACATTTTTAGAATTCCCTGATATCTCAGGGTTTCCCATCACCATGGGTAATTTGATTATTGTAAAGTTCAGGGTTCATTCAAAATATGGTCACGAAAGGGCAAGGCTTAAAGAAGAGGTACACAGAAATGTCTGGTTTGATTTCTAGTGAATCAATAAAAGACAAACCCTTTGTTGTGCATCTCCTCAGCCTTTGACATGTAGACACAGCGCTTTTTCAGAGGAGGATCACTGTCCTCTTCATCATCAGATGAGCTCTCTAGCGTGAGGTCGATTACGTCTCCTTTTTTTGTGCTGCTGGTTTCTGGGGGTAGCACCACTGCACTTTGCCGCACTGGGACAGCGCCTGAGAGGTCATGAATCACTTTAAAAATGCATCAAACATGGTAATCATATATATAATTAGTTAAAACCTATCACACACAAAGAGTGCTCACACATTTTAAAAGGTTAATGAACCTTACAATCAATTTTTGGGATACATGGAGATGACACTTTCAACGTCTCCTTCTTTGGTCTCATTGGACACCAAGTCCCATCTTCCTGAAACTTGATTTCATCAACATCTGTGCAGTCATTAAGTATTTCCATGAAGAGCCTGACAAGTAGAGAGTGCCTAGTTTACTTAATGGAAATTACTCTCAATAAACGCAAAACAATTCAATGATTTACTGTGGTTAAAGAGGCTGAGTGTTTCTCACCACTTCAGTTATAGTGAAAGTAATCTCACCCATCTATAATCAGACTCTCATATGTGGCTTTTTTGTCACAGACAGGACAGATCCAGGTGGGCTTCTTCTCATTCATTTGCAGGTATAGAGCAGCATCAAAGCACTGCAGATGAGAACAGGTGACAGCTCGGCAGGGTACCGTAAGACGCATCTTGCCAAGCTATATGAAGAGAGGATTTTTTTTGGTCACACACTATTCTTTTTTTTTTTTTTTTTACCGTACAACATCAGCGCACAAAACAAACACTAAAAACTGTTATTTAAAGTGACGTTCATGAGTCAGCTAAGATCTCATGAAGGCAGCAACTTACTGGACACATGAGTGAGACTCGTAAACTAGTTGTGGCAATTTCACTGTCAGGGTCTGCCGTGAGTTTTTCTTTAACTGTTACAATAGTGAAAAGAGGGTGGATTTAGTAAATTATTTCAATAATTCAGTCAATTAATTCAATATGAGAATGGAAAAGCAGAATTCATTATAAAGATAGACAATAACAACAAATAAAATAAGACCAGAGAACTGTCAAGTGTGATCGATCGTATTCATATTTACAATTAAGACCCTGTTCACACCTGGTATTAAGATGTGTTTTCGTCGATCCGATCAGAAGTGGACAGCGCTAAATACAGGTGTGAACGGGGTCTAAAAGTTTTGAGCTTGTCCACTTTCAACCACTTCCAGAGGTAGTGGAAAACGCACGAGTAAGAGTAGATGCTCATGTGGTCGAATGCGTTCGAACAGCTGCTAAAGACCGCCTACTCTCCGCTGACTGAGCTAATTCTTAAACATTACCATGCTCATTTCCTATCCATTAACCAACAAAATTAGAATGTTAAATTAGATTTATATTAAATTACAATGGATAAGTATATATGACCCATTAAAATTAAAAGTTTTTCAATTCAGTGGTTTAGATTAGCATGCGCATAAGCAACAGGAGAAAACTGAGAAAAACAGAATAAAATGACATATGATAGGAATATAATGAATAGGCCTACATAAAATATGTTTCAGTTAAATGATTATCATAAATTATCATAATTATCAAAAAGTTTTGTTTCATTTTTATAGTACCACAAGTTTAAGTAAACAGAGACGGATCCTGTTTGCTTTATTTTACGAAAGCATAGTTTTGTTCTTATTGTGAATATTTTCGTTTTTTCTGCTGTGATAAGGACAACATCCGTACAATATCCTCTTGCATGTACACAACATCATTTATAGCATTGCTAGATGTTTATAGGCCTATGTTGTTTATAACAAATACCATTATAATTTGTGTTTTATTTTATAATCGTATATATAATTTTGTACTATAATTTTATAGCTACTTATATTTTCTGATTTTTATCTTATTCTGTTCTGAATACCGGTAAAATTTAAAGGATTTGCTGACAACTTATGGGTAATGTTTGTTTTTTTTCTCTCAGCGCAATTTTGACTGATATGTGTAGCAACATTTTTTATCCACGCAGTAAACATTTCAAAAATAGTTTTTTTTGGGGCCTGGGGGTATGGGGGAAACCCCACAGCATTCAGTTCATATGTAAATTGCGTGAGCTTATTTCACAATATTAGATCAAAAGATCAGAAAAAGCCCACATACACTGGGCCATAGACTCCCCTCAAAAGAAATCAGGACAGAAGTGGTTGAAAGTAGATTAATGAGTCTCCCTCGTCTACTTGTGATCAGGGCCCGTATTTATCAAGTCTCTGAGAACTACTCTCAAGAACGCTGCTAAGAATTGACTTAAGTGTAAAAAAATTCTTGGCTCAAAGCTGCGCTTAAAAGTTAGTTATCAAGCATCTCAGTTGTAATTTAAGTGAAGTGTAGGACTAAATCTTAAGTGAGTTGATTCACAACACTTTGCTGTGACACAAACGGGATTTTGGATGACGAAATACGCATGGACCAATCACTGAATAGATTTCCTTATTTAAGAATATTCTCAGATAAATTCACATTGAATGGTTAAATCATAGGAGTTTACATTCAACACACATTTGACAATAAAGAATTTTCAAGAGAATACATTATGGTAAGGAAACGAATCGTCATCACAACCTTCAATTTAGGGTTGTGCCGGTAGACGATACTATCGTGTATCGACGATAGTCAGAGATATCGCCTGTTGCTGATTTCTTTGACGACAGCAAGACGATTATTATTATCCGTCGAAAATATAGGCGCCTATCTTTAGTGATGCAACGCAGAGAGCCACTTCAGAAACTTGCCGCGGCACGGATGGCAAGTAGCCGGGATCAGCTCCGGTGTGTCGGAGTCGTAATGCGCCGCAGACGTGTGCAGTGAAAATAAGGGGTAAGATATTTATTCATGATACAGTGTAGGTAGCTTCACTGATTATAACGGGAGTGTTTTTAAAGAGCATATAATACTCGCGCTAGACTGAAGTCAGTTATGATGTTCTTTGGTAATGTAAATATTCTTTGCTCATTTCTGTTTGAATAACTGAGGAAAAGAAATGTAACCGTTTTATTAACTGCTCATCGTCAAACATTTCAAGAACATTCTTCCTCTCCTGAAAGATTCGCCGCACGTCTCTGTCTCCTCAGCGCCATCACAAGCCCCTACTGGCAACTCCTAACCACTTGAGAGACCTCTCCAGCGGTCTTAAATAACTGGGAGAGTAAGGGTGATTCTTAGCTTTAAGAAATTTGATAACTCGCTTTTATACTTAAGTTTGAAAGTAGGAGTAAATGTAATGAATTCTCAGCACTTAAGACTAAAATGGCACTTTGAGAAGCTTGATAAATACGGGCCCAGATCATCCAAAACGCATCTTAATACCAGTGTCAACAGTAAATTAGAATTCATGGGTATTTTTTTCCCCCTCTTTTCTCAAAGAGGGAAATGTTGCCTTACTTAACGCTCTGGAATGGTCAGGGTTTCTGATCCCCTTCATTCTTAATCTTTGTAGTAACAGTGGGGAGGTCAGCTGCCGTACCAAGTAAACTGACATGGAGTATGTCTGCAGAAAACAAGAGAATACATACAAATGCTTAGCATGCAGAAAAAGCTGAAGCAGTGTTGAAATCTGAATTAAGTAACAGGTCTAATGGCACTTCACATACCTTCCCTATTTCAGGTGCCCACGTCACTACTATCTGATTAGGTACAGCGGACGACAGCCTGACCAGCGACGTGATGTTCAGTGGTCTGCCGGGTCTTTTTTGCTCCACACCATTCTTAGGAGGCGGTGCATAGCCCTGTGCGATAACCATATCAGTTCAGCAATTATATACGTACTTATGCACAAAGGTTTGGGGTCAGTAAAGTGTTTTTGTTTTTAAGAAACAAATTATTTATATATTTATTCAGCATTAAACTGATCAAAAGTGACAGTAAAACTTTTACAGTGTTACACAAAAAATGTCTATTTCAAATAAATGCAGTTCTTCTCTAGGTTGTAATATCTCAAAAAGGTTTTCACTATGCAGTGTCACCCCTTTTAAAAACCTGTGCTACAGCACATAAAATATAGTTTGAACAAATGTTCAAATTTTGACAATATTACTGTCATCTTTCAAGTCATCTGCTATAAGCAATGTTCCTGTTCAATTTACAAATTATGCATTACATCAGTAATCTCTGTTTGTTGGGGGGAGGACTATGATAATTTTATGCAATAAAAGTTTTTATTTGTTGAATAGATCTCAGATACCTTATTAAAGGATTCAGTTTGCATCAATTTTTAAATACTGACTATGTACACATCCAGTTGTTCTGAGATCATGTTAAGTTAGACAGTTCAACATTTAAAATGAACATCCCACAAGAAACACTGATCAGTGTATGGCCCCTAAATAAGCCTAATTACTTAGCAATATGTTGTTCTAACAAGTCATATATATTTATTAAGAACTAAAAACATTAAATGTGGGCTTAATGAAGGTTTATTGTGAGAGGATTACATACAGGGAGGGGAAAGAGCTTCCCATTGACTTTGATGCAGAGGCTGTTTGGAAAATTGTCCTCTTGTGGACAGCTGGTCTCTGCTAGACAAAACCTAGAATCAGAACATAAAACAGAATGTCAAGTGTCTAAATTTGGGATTATGGTGACAACATCTTTGTACATGTTGCTGAACCGGATACACAAATGACAGTATTGTAAAAGCAACACTGAGCTGGTTCTTACCGCAGCTGAATTTGAACCATGTAGTCCCTTCTTCCACCTGGAAGAAAGTCCCTATGCACAAGTGTAAGAAAAACAAAGAACCAAATCAGACAAAGAGTAAGAGACAAGTCACATTATCTAAGCCATGTTTAAGTCAATTAGTTCTTACCGTGAAATGCAAACTTCTCTCACTTGTTGTGGAGTCAAAGCAAATATGAAGTACTTTTCATGATGAAACCTCTGACCAGCATGGGTCCCTTTAAAACACAAATCAGTCAAAAGGGGTGTATAGTTTTAAACTGAAGACACGGGCAAAGAGGAAATCATGTACAATCCAGCTGATGGGCTAACGAATGGTTTACATACACTATTGTTCAAAATTTGGTCTCTTATGCTCTTGTGCATTGATCAAAAATACCACAGAACTTTTTTGTTCTGTTTTTGAACTCTTTTTCTATTTTAATATATTTTAAAATGTGGAAAAGCCAAACTTTCAGCAGAAATTACTTTAGTGTTCAGTGTCATTCAGTATCATTCTGATTTGGTGCTCAAGAAACATTTCTTATTATTACAATGTTGAAAACTGTTGTGCTGCTTAATATTTTTGTGTAAACCATGATACAGGGTGTCTACAGATATGAACAAGTTAAATGTAAGACTTTTTAAGACCTTTTTAATACCACCTTATGTGAAATTTAAGACCAAACCTGTGATGGAAATACACATTATATTACATACGTATATGTAATGTTTAACACGTTTAAATGTAAAAAGAAAACAAAATATCATCGCTGTCAAAAATGCTATTTGTTATTACGATATACAGTGAACTTTTCATATCAGCAGACAATATCCCATACAAAATATTCCCACAAAACAAAAGTGTCGCATCACCGAGATTTTTGGTTGTGTAAATTTATTCTGAAGCAATATTTTCATCAGTTTTCTGTCAGCTTTTACATACTTAAATCTGCATGTTTTTAATATTTACCACAGGATGTCATTTACCTT